AGCGTTAAAAAGGTTAATTTGCAATTTAGACATGGCATTTGGACCTGTCTATCAATTTCAAAGACTGAAACGAAAATACAGCTGAGGTGGCGACTTTATATAGGTTATACTTATTCACGTGAAGATCAAAGGTGTGTGATCATAGTGTGTCATTTCACACACTCAACAATGTATGCAATGCTATTTTTGTAGGAGTAACAGAAAGCGAAACAAATTTAGACTTGCTCTTGATTAACCGCATCCTGACATATCCTCATATCCACTGCGACCAGGTCCACACATCAGCCAATGAAAACATTTCTCATGCAGCGATGCAGTTGCTCCGGTAGGTTCTGACCATGCCTGGTCTATCGTGACTTCCATGAGGTACCGCACCCAAGACTGGAGAGACAAAGGGTTGTAGTAAGCTTCATTGTTCTCTGTCATCCACCTTCCCGAGGCAAGAGAGTAAACTGATTTTAAAAGTCCAGTTTCCACCCTTGCCGAACTAGGCTGGAATTGCTGGGCTCGATCGTAGCGCCACCAGTGGCTATTACCAGTTATGTCTCCTCTAAGCCGCTCCTATGGACCAATCAGATTCCACCTCTCATATCACTTGCGTTTGCTTCACACAAAATGGGGGCGCTCAGTCAGGACGATCTGATCGATAATCAAGATCTATATTGTGATAAAACGGGTATCACATCGCGAAATGCATTAAATCACGTGAGCACCTTGATTAAAAACATGACAAGATTTGGAAAATATCTGCTGACAACCAGTTGGCGATGCACATGCTTTGCAAATCCTGCAATCAGACAAAAATCTGCACGACAGTTTCCAAACCGGATTTCGATTTCGTTGCACGATTTTGATTGGACTATGCATAGATTCGTTAGTCCAGCCAAAATGTAACTCCATAATACCAGCCTAGTTCGGCAAGGGTGGAAACTGGACTTTTATAGTCATTTAACTCTCTTGCCTCGGGACGATGTCTGTCATCCGACCCCATCAAGTCTAGGAACACACATAGCCTCTTGGCTGTGAGATTTTTCTAGGGGAGCAGTGTTGACTGTTTCTTCTCAGACTCGTTAACCTCAGACATGTCTCAAATGCGGAGGAAGGCTGTGTCTTTGGTACACACTTCAGGTGTTTTGTCGGTGACCCTCCTGACCTCTTGGCCAGGGGGCGCCTGGTCACTAATTTCAGACATAGGTGTCAGCACATCCATTCTATTCTTCGCCTTCTTCTTCTTCGACTTCTACCATGTCTCATGCACCATGGGGAATACACCATAGGAGAGAGACGAATCACTGTGAACATCTTTGTCTTGTAATGCCAACATAACTTATCATGAAGTGATCAGACTTCTTGCAGGAGGGGTTGTGCCATATATCGATGTTGGTTCCAAACTCTTACCTGGCAATGATCATTACAAGTAGCTAAGTAAAACAACAAAAGAAATATACAAACCTTCTGCTGGATTTTTTGACAAAAAAATAATCTAAATCTTTGTTAAACTGAAGATTTACAATTAGCCAGACAACTACCAACATATTGTGCCTTGCGAAACCGCATTATCAGTGGTTCATATTGGGAAAGGGAGGTCACTCTAATTTCAAACGGGAGCTATCTCCGTTGTTTTCGTATTTGCGAGAAATGGCGTCACCCACGCTGCACGTTGTTGGTCCAGCTATTAAATGCCCAGCTTATCCCTAAGGTAAAACGTAAGGTAATTAAATGTTTGAATGCATTATATATCTATGTTTCAATCAGTACATCTTCTAAGATTGGTTTAGTGGTGATAATCATTTTCTCAAATGTGGGCCCACATTGTTCCCGTCATATATGGTGATCGAAACAAGTGGGCCCACATATGTATATCGCCTAGTGGGTAGACGTTCTTCCGTCATAGTGATTGCAAAAGGAGGGACCACATTAAAAAATCGCTAGCTTCATTAGCTTTGCTTACTTATAACCATTTTCTAAAATGTGGGCCCACATTGTTCCCGTCTTATAGTGATCGAAACAGGTGGGCCCACATTTTTAAATCGCTGGGTTTCATAAGGTTTAGGCTATTGGACTCACGTTTGTCATTATGTGACATTTTATATTATTCATATTTTGTAATATTGATGAGAAATATCTTTATTAATCATTTCGTGTGACATTAATTCCATAAAAGGCACAAAAGTCTTTGAAGTTTGAATAACTGCGTCATAGCTGACCACACTAGTTTTACAAAAATAGCTACCAAGCAAGAAACTTAAATCTACTTCAAATTAAAATTACAGAGGCAATACCACTCATTCTACTTTTTCCAATATAACACATCAATCTAATCATAAGTGTTGGTGGCGATATAAGCCTGAACATATGTCTACACTTGAATTGATCTCGGACATGATACAAGCCTCAGACGTTTCCGAGAACTTGTTCCAAAAAAGGAATATAACTCATGAATATTAATGACCCCACGACCTAGTTTGGCGATGTTCGTGAGTTCTGCTGTATTGCCATCTTATTTGTAAATTTTAATCCAATTATAAGTCATAATACTTATTTTAAATAGACAAATTATGAGTTCGTTATGCGGGTTTGTTTACGTAGTATATATTCTCAACAACAAGTGCGTTTAGTTTCGAATGTGGGCCCACCTCGAACTTTCGATTAGGCAAACGGAGTTAGCTCCCTTCTCGAACCACCGATAATGCGGTTTCGTCCTGTTTTCAATGTTTAAAAAAGCACATTTAGAAAAGAAATGAGGTTTTCCCAAGGCAAGAAAAGCCAAATACTATTACTTTCACAACTACTAGTGGACTGTCGACTGTGAAAAGGACGTCTGTTAAAAATCTGAAGATTTTTAGTGTGATTTTCTAGTGGCAATGATGTAAATCAAAAATAGAGGTAGGGTATCTGTAAGAATTACTGTAATTCCCAAGAGTATTACAGAACACTAATTACAATCTGTCAAGCAACCCTTATGGATGATAGGTACATCAGGCATGTGTGAAGTGACAAACGTGCAGTGAGGACATTGTTGAGAAACCAATTGTGGCGGTTGATGTGAAGTTTTGGCAATGGCATTATCCAGGCCCCCTTTGAGGACTAGGGTCAGAATAATTATTTTGGATGTTCACAATAACCTGGCTACTTAGATCATGTTGGTGTCCATAATATGAATTGTCATACTTTAATCCTAATATTCTTTCGAAATGCTGGATCATGACCTACACTTTCCCTGGAAGGACCAAATGCACATAAATATTTACATGAAGATGTCATACTGCCATACCTGCTTTACCTCAGATATTCCATTCAGTGAGTGAGTGAGTGAGTGAGTGAGTATGGTTTTACGCCGCTTTTAGCAATATTCCAGCAATATCATGGCGGGGGACACCAGAAGTGGGCTTCACACATTGTACCCATGTCGGGAATCGAACCCGGGTCTTCTGCGTGACGAGCAAACGCTTTAACCACTAGGCTACCCGACCGCCCCTATTCCATTCAGAATGTAGTATGTTATGGGCTAAAAGTTCTTAACTGATTATGGATACAATTATGTTTTGGAATGAATGCTTTGAAATAAAACAAACTCTTGATAGTCGATCATCATTGTTATAAAACATACACACAGACAAATATTTACTGACTGGCTGCTAGAACCAGTCAAAAAACAATGTCTAACTAGAACGTCTGTTTAGTCAAAAACATAAGTCTCCTCCCTCCATTCTTTTTTATACATTAGTTCCAAGTTGTTACTGTAATGTGTTTGCAAATCCGAAAAACAATAATGGCAAAGTATAGACTGGAAAGAATGGTTTCATGCAGAAATATTTTTTGGTTTGGTTTGGTTTGGTTTGTTGTTTTACGCCGCACTCAGCAATATTCCAGCTATATGACGGCGGTCTGTAAAAATGATCAAGTCTGGACCAGACAATCCAGTGATTGATATCATGAGCATCGATCCACGCAATTGGGATCGATGACCTGCATCAACCAAGTCAGCGAGCCTGACCACCCGATCACGTTAGTCGCCTTTTACGACAAGCATAGTCGCCTTTTATGGCAAGCAGAAATATTTAATACCTGTAGAGATTTGGCGGGAAACAAATGCTACTTGTTTGAGTCCAAATTGTTTCCATGGAAACACAAGAAATTAAATATAATTGACAAATATGAAAAGGCAATGGTTGAGCATGTGGTCATAGCACATGTATATTTTCATGCAAAAATATTCAATAGTTTGTGAGTGATAGCTTGGAAACAAAGCGTTGAGTACTTTGAGAACAAATTGTGTCCATTAAACAAAATAAAATTTAGAAAGATTTCAAAATAGCAAAAGGCACCAGTTAAACTGATGAGCAATGCGTATGCCAAGTTTTGTTGAAGTATGTTGAACGGTTTTCAAGTCACGGCCAGGAAAGTCAAAATTGTTTCCATGGAAATGTAAAAAGTAAAATTTGGAATTTTTTTTAAAATAGCAAGAGGCACCAGTTCAGCTGACAAGTATATGCATATGCCAGGTTATGGCTCTGCGGAATAGGATGGGAACACCAATGCTGACACCAACGGGAATGAGCCAAAAACAATATGTCTCCCCCACCTTTGGGGGCTAGGGGAAAAAAACTAATCATTCTAGTTTCACCAATTTCTTTGTAACACCACCAATGTCTAATGTGATCATAGAACAACTTTGAAGTGTAACTAAATGCTTTTGCATCCTCCTGCAGTAGACAAGAGGGAACATTTAGTCATTGTTTTGTTCATCGTATCCAAGGCATGTTTATGAAATCAGTCCACCCGGTTGCTCCTGCATGTCCACTCTACTACCAAAATGATGGATGTCAGAAACATTAATACCACAGAGAATCTCACATTTCGTCTGCAGACTTCTATGTAGCTTGAGGTTACATGTGTTTGTGGCATATGCAATGTACGTTTCACATATATACCAAACATTTATTCATTGAAACTTATCTTTCACGAATAAAATGAATAATAACATGAAGGGTGTAAAATGAGTTTGAAGAGAACAATTGTAACAATGAAAAATATGCCAAATATATATGTATTTTCAACATGTTACAACAATAACAACAGGACAGATGCACACATATACCTGGGTAAGGCTTTCAAGAACATAGTATTGCATTTACCTGTCAGAACTCCATTTGAACGGTGTCCCGTGTGTCATCAGTGTGTATACCATGTATACCGGAACCTGGAGCTTGGTAGGTTTTGTAGATGAGAGTGTATTCAGTGTTTCAATACAATTTCACTGGACGCATAATAAAAGTGTGTGACAACCAGATGATGATAAATACATTGACCTTAAAACCAGCTCATACGCTCATATATAATGAAGTAATGTATGTAGTTTAAACATAAATACTGTATGGTATGTACACATGTGAATAACATTAGAATGACAGTATGAAGGAATATGTTTCACCCCTCTGCTACACAGATTCCGTCAGAGTGTGTCCATAGTCAACTAACTGAGCAGGGCATGTGACAAAGGTATGTTCACCACTGTTTGCATCTGTTACAACAACTTGAGTAGCCACAACAGCATCTCCCTCACCCCTGCTCACAGTCATCATGGGCAGCCCAGCAGCATCCTGCAGCTGGTTTGGATCTGCACTGGTGACGGTCATGTGAACTGGCTGAGCTTCAATGATAGTGATGGGCTGGAGGTTGCCAGATGCACTCTCTGTAGTATGCAGCACCTGACCTCCAGACACAGTAGGGATAAATGTTTGAATTGTTGGTCCATTTTCATGCACAGTTTCAGTCAAATGTACAACATAATGATCCAACATGGCCTCATTTGCTGAGTCTGTTGACTTTAAGGTTAAATGCTTATCACTTGTCATTGTTATCTGCTGCTTGTTGTCTGCAAAACTAACAACTTCATCTCCACCAGTAACAGCAACAGCGTGAACCTTGTCTAGGACAGCAATGGGTGTTGATGTCTTCTGTGTGTGAAGACTTACTTCAGTTATCAAAGATTCACCAACAGACTGGGAAGATGGCCTTCTCTCCTTTCCTCTCATACGACTGTTGCCCATTCTAGACTCACGCACACGTTCAGCAGTTACAGTTATCATACGCTTTTTAGGCCGGCCAATTTTTCTGCGATTTCTTGGTCGGAAAACTTGAGGCTCTATACCATCTTTTTGTGGAAGACATTTGTGATCATGAAATAATTTTGGCCGGAAAAAACCTCTCCCACATCTTTCACATCTGAACTTATAGTCTGCTTTGTGTCCACGTTCATGTTCAAGGAGATGAGGCTTACGGCTAAACCCCTTGCCACATTCCTTGCACTTAAAAGGTTTTATACCACTGTGTGTGACTATGTGTGCTTTAAGCTTATCTGGTCTGTTAAATTCTTTCTGGCAACCTGGAAAATAAAAGAGCAATGGCCTTCAAATTTCCTTAACCTTTTACAAACATGCTACTGACATCTGATATGACAAGAATTGTTTGGATATACACAAATATCAAGGTGCATGCCTGGTGGCCATTTTGAAAATCAGAGTGAACCTTTTGGACAAATCCATGTCTCATCATTGATGTGAAGAAATATCTGAAGTTTCATTGGTGTAGTGCTTTTCTGAGGAGATATAATTACAGATAACGCAGCAGCAGCTTGCAGACTTTGAGGTGAATGTCAGGGGCACCAAAAATCCCTCATGATTTGCTTGAGTTATCTTTATAAATGTTAACGTGACGGCAGACTACACATTTCTTGTGGTAGTAGGTAACATAACTGGTTTAAGAGGACTGATATGACATACTGACCTGTGAGTGATCTGAATGGACATCTGTATTTCTTGATAGAATTGTGTATAAGGACATGGCGCTTGAGTTTGTCCTTCCGGTTGAAACATGCAGAGCATGTATCACACCTATATGGTTTTTCTCCTGTATGAATCAGTGTGTGCGTCTTTAAGTAGTTTTCCGTCTTGAATCTCTTTTTGCAAGTTGAACATTCAAACTGACCTAGAAAAGAAAAGTAATTTAGTAAAAGGGAAGTTTATCTGTAATCCATTCATATTTAAGAAAACCGTCAAGTGGAATGTGTGCTTGCAGGTCCATTTAAAACGAGAAAGTTGTTTGCAAGTACTTGCAAAAACAGAAGCAGGTCCTTCGCTGAAAGAACCGGAAGGTTTGTGACAAACAAACGACTGTTATGTTGTCTGTGGATATGGCGTGCACTTGACGCTGAAGCCGGTGCTTCCAGTGGGAGACGGCCAGGATGAGTGCTTCTAACCCCAAAATGCATCAACAAACAGGTGGAGAGAGGGTTTGAGCGCTGTCAAGGAGATGCCGTCGCAAACATTAGATTTCATTGTCCACCAATGAAGGTACGGGCAGAGGTGAGTCGGGTGTGACATGGAAATCTGGGTTTTCTGCCGACGAATAAACGGGGATAGAAACTGTTGAAGCAGATGTGGTTAGAGTCGACCTCTGGCTGTGAGATCCTGAGCTGAGGTGAGAAGGCCCAACAACACCTGGCACTGCCTTTGAGTGCAAGCTTGGCGAAGGGCCAGTAGTAGATTGGAGTTGAATTTTGTGCCACCTGTTATCCGGTACTAGGAGGAGATCCTGGTCCATGCAAAACAGGATACCTATGAACTGGAACTCGTAAGACAGGGTGAGATCTGACTTGGGCTCGTTGATGATCCATCCTAGCTGTGTGAGTAGACGACACATGAAATCCCCGTGAAGTAGAAGGGTTTCCGTGTTTTGGTGATTCAGTATGCAATCGTAGTGAGTGAGTGAATATGGTTTTACGCCGCTTTTAGCAATATTCCAGCAATATCACGGCGGGGGACACCAGAAATGGGCTTCACATATTGTACCCATGTCGGGAATCGAACCCGGGTCTTCGGCGTGACGAGCGAAGGCTTTATGCAGTCGTAGATGTAAGACTGAACGTTTGTCAGGTGTAGGTAAGCGGTAATTGGCATGATGATCCGGGTAAATAACCAGGGGACCTCAGAAATGCCAAATGTGAGGACTGCTCACTGATAATGGACACCCTGGAAGTAGAACTTGAGGAACTTCCTGCTGCTAGGGTGGATGGGCACATGTAGATAAGTGTCCGGGAGCTCGAAACTGATCAGGGATTCTGGTCCTGAGCAGTCTCAACATAGTTAGGATGTTCTAGCTAAAGCTTGTTGAAAATGGCGAGATTGTGAATCATCCGGAACTTGGATGAACTTTCCTTGGGTACCAGGAACACTGAGGAGTAGAAACCTGGATGCCCCTGTGGGTCGTGTACAATCTCGATCGGTTGCTTGAGCACCAGCTACTGAATGTTCTGGAGCAAGAGCTGAGTCTGACGAGAGGGATGGGTGTCCGCTATGGGGTGGGATGTTAATGGCAGTTCCACTATGTGGGGGAACCAGTACACCCTCACGGAGTACGCTTGTGATTAATGGGTCTTGAAGTATGACTTAGTTGGCCTAAAACTCCTAGCAACAAGTGTGTCTACGACCGTGACGACTGGGGATGTCAGTACTTTCCTATGCAGTCCCCACCTTGAACTTGTGTTGGTGATGGCGGGGTTGATAGTTGCCTTGTGGCTTGGAGCGATCTTGACCTTTGCCACGAAAAGAGGAGGAAGTAGTCTGAGGGGAAATCTTAGCAAGCAATGCCTGATAATTCCCAGTTTTAGCCGGTTAAAACTTGGATTGGTTGTAGACATGCTCCAAGGTTTTCAGAGCCATCTCATCGAGGGCAAAGCTCGAGACGTGCATGAGTTCCTGTTATAGTACCACTGAACAGTGAGGATGCGCTCCAGGGTTGATGTAGAAGTTGCCTTTAGAGTTCCAGTCCGTCCGGGCAAGGTAACCTAGATGCCTGGTGGTGGTGATCTCTGCCAAGTCCGCCTGTAGATGATTACGTAAATGGTTCATCTGTCGCGGCTGAAACGACATCATGGTCCTCAAATGATCAATTCTGAAGGGATTACCCTCTGAGAGATCTTGGTCAATGGCTCTGGTTGAGGAGGCCAAAACGGATCAAGTTTCCTATAACAAGCTTTAAATGCCGGAGTGAGTGGTAACATCATCCATGGTCCGGTGACCAAATACTCTCCCTATTATTGACATTTGAACCAGGAGATGGAGGGATGGAGATCAGCCGCTCCACCATCCAGTCTGGTTAAGACCCAAGTGGGAATTAAGTCCAAAGCCCACTTAATCAGTTGATAAGTCAGCTGAGCCTGCTGAGGAGTCTGAGCGATAGTCATATGGTTGACGTATTGGAGAGCGACTATGGGATCAGCGTCTAGAATGGAGTCGAGGAGTATAGCCGCAAGAGTGAGACCGACGAGATGAGGCTGCGTCCTCTAAGGGAGCCAATGACGGACGAGTAGTGGTCATCATGATTGGTGATGATAGAGTGTGCATGTGTTGAGTAAGTGGAGCAATTAACACAGGAACAGAGGATGACTAATTGTGTCCGTGGTATAATCGGAGGTGCCACATGCGTTGATGGTGCCGGAGTGTACAAAAGATTAGTGGGTGCTGAGGGCGCCGGTATTATGTAGGTGGGGGTCACTGTAGGAGCTGTCTGAGTTATGAATGATGGGTACATGCATTGCATTCATTGAACCCAGGCGGGAATCGCCGATGACACCGAGGTAAATGTAGATGTAGTCATGGCGACATGAAAACATTAAACAACGGTGGTGAGGAGAGGCACTGTTCTATCAGTGAAGACTGTGGCATCGTTGGAGCAAATTCACATACGTCTGTACAGTCCAGTGACTAGCAGTGATGAGATATTACTTGATGTCACTCCCGGTCACGTGGGGTCAGCTGTGAGGGTACACCTAGTTGGTCCAACTTGTATGCAATTAGATGTATAAACTGAAGCTCACCAGATACTTGACAAAACACATCTATAGTCTTATATCTAATAAACATCATGACAGATATATTAGATGTTTTATCTTATCCTGCATTACTACTTAATGTTTCTACTGCTATTTTCTTGACCTTGTAGATGGAGCTGTGAGAGGTCGTGGCTACAGTGAGTGAGTGAGTGAGTGAGTGAGTTGGGTTTAACACCGCTTTTAACAGTATTCCAGTTATATCGCGGCGTGTCAGCTTAATGTGGGAGGAAAACCCGAAGTGATGCAGGTCTCAGACGTTTACCACTTCGGTGAAACCCACGGGCACAGGTATGGTGCTCACAAAGCTAGAAACATAATCAGGGTGAACCGGGATTCGAACCAACAATCATAGGTCTCGTGGCTACAGAAAAAGTGTGGTGACATGCAGTGATGAGATATTACTTGACGTCACTCCTCGGTCATGTGGGATCAGCTGTGAGGGTACAAGCCACACAACTTGGTAGGTACAAATTTTTCCGTAGCCAGGACCTCACAACTTTACATTGTGTTTCACAAGTACTTTAAATCATGAAATTAATGAGAGTGTTGAGCAGGGGTCCAGAAACCGTCATATGCGCCAGGACATGTCCGATTGGGAATCTCAAATGTCCGGTGTAAAATATTGCTTACCGGACATTTAAATTATTCTGTCCGGACATTTTAAAAAGTATTGTCCGGACATTCTTAAATTTTGACCGGACATGATCAACAGTTAGGACTGAGCAGTTTCTGTCTGCAGTTGTAACACAATGAAGATTATCTACACTGACAAGCTTTGTTTGTTTTGATTGCTGTAAATACATCGTACCTACATGATAGTCCAATCGGTCAATCACTGTAATAGGCAATAAAGTTGAATAAACTGAGTTGACACTGATTAATCGAGGATTAATTACTGAGAACATCTTGTTAATTTGAGTGAAAGGTGTTTACAACTGTACATAAATACCTTGCATCATCGATGTACATCATTATCCTAACAATGCTAGATCTACGATACGTAACCTCAGACAAGAAGCGAAATCATGATGACAGCCAGTCGACCGATGCAGATCAGTCGAGCGGATCTGCCAAACCCTCAAAGTCTGGACGATCATTTTGTAAGTCGTGGCTAACAATGAGGATTTGCAGATTTTATTGTTTTCAGTAGCTAGTCGTATATTGAATCTTGATTGACCGCCATTTTGCTTTCTGTGACGATCGATAACAAATTTTTTTATGGTCAATAATTAAGCACAGATGAAAAAAGTATTAAAATAACTACCGTATTTTCTTGAGTATAGTGCGCACTTTTTTTCGAAAAAACACAGCTGTGTAGAAGGGGGTGCGCATTATACACGAATTATGAGTTTGAATGTTTTTTTTCCCCCATGAAAAGACATTACCGTGAGCACGAAACACCGGGAATACCATGTCAACAAATCCATACTGAAGTACGCAAAATAATCATGTAATTACACTGTCTGGCTATAAAAAAGTGTTCTTTGTATATCTGGATTTATGTTTGTAACTTATTTCATTGATTTTATTCAAAATTCCTCATAATCTGATAATATTGTTTTTATTAATTTCGGCGAAATCGTGTGTGAAGCGATCGGAAGATATATCAACGATATTTTAGTATTTGTGATTATATTATCTGTCTTCTTTTTAAATAATCTTTAGTTTAAAAAAAGACTTTTCCCGTGAGGTCACGTGATAACCAAATATGGGATAATAGTCTCGATCCAAATGTTACAACGTGTACACTTGAGCAGACTCATGAATATAACTCATGAATATTAATTCGACCGTTCACTACGTTAACAGATCGTTTTTATAACAGAAACAAACGTAAGTTTCCATGTATATCTAAAATGATGTTATTTGTTATTAATTGTCCGGTGAATTAAACAATTTAAATTGAAACAATTCATAATTCATCATATTATGAATACGTAACAACTTGTAATGTGTGTGAAAAGTTGTACTAAATTACGCTATTTGAAGGTGGCGTGGCCTAAATGTAAATGTCCGATTGGGATTTTAAATTTTCCGGACCCCTGGTGTCGAGCCCTGCCCAAAATGCATCATTAAATTAATGCAAGTAGTTATGCCTTTTGCTCCTATTAAAAAAATCAAAAATCTTTTGATTGTTATGTCAAGAACAAATCTGAACCCTACTTTAGTGTTACTAGACATCCTCCTTATGTTTCAGGAACAATGCTTCACACCTTTTGGGAAAGGACAAATGTGAACAGATGGATGGACAGATGACTAACACATAAGCTCACTTGGACCTTTGGTCCTTGTGAGCTATAACAAGAAGAAAAAAGACGAAATATTTGATATTTGTCTGTTTTTCTTCAAATAGCCACCTATAATGAAGATGTTGTTACCTGTGTAAAATGTTCTTTAAGACAAATTCTTGAGTTTTGCATAATAACATACCGTATCCACAATTTGGAATCCAGTTTAGAAGAAAGTACATGTATAGCCAAATGTCTGACAGGCACTCATGAATCTCGGAAGATGACTTACCCTCAGTTCCATGTGTGGGGAGGTGGCGTCGTAGATATCTCTCACACGCGAACACCTTGTCACAGTGAGGACATCCATAGCTGTGTGTGGTCGAGGCCATGTGGTGCTCCAGTGCTTCAGGCGTAGAGTACTTGTTCATACACTTTGTGCACTGGAAATGCCTGAAAAACATGTTACAAACAACTGCAAACTTTGTATAGTAGGATCAGAAGAGCATCATATGATTATAATCAGAAGTAGTGAGAGTGTGGGTATGCAGATTGACCATTTATGCAATCACAAAGATGAATTTACTGCTGTTTTTTTTACAGTAAGATGAAGTTGTGAGAAGTCCAGCTGCAGAAGAAGTTGTTCAAACTAGTTGTGTGGCAAATACCCTGAAACAGCTGCCATGTGACCCAGAAGTGGAGACGTCTTGTATGAGCACATTATTGTGTGAACATAATAACATCTTAGGACTTTGTGGGGAGGTAGAACTGCGATGGGAAGGCACTTAGAGTGAGTGAGTGAGTATGGTTTTACGCCGCTTTTAGCAATATTCCAGCAACATCACGACAGGGGACTAAGGCACTTAGAGGAAGTAATGCAGGATAAGTATAGAAATGTAAAAAATAATTAGATTTTACTAAAACCTTTTACTTATCCTGCATTACTCCTGGTTCCTCTATCTGGTCGATTAGCTGGGCCTATGCTATTTGGTCCAGCACATACCCAGACGTAGGAACGTTCTGGCAGACACTCTATCTAGGTCAGGAAGGGAAGCTCCTTCCCAAGGTGTCAACACCTAGGTCATCCCAACATCAACCTCTTCCCCACTTGCCAGAACTAGCAGATCTCAACTTATGTCTCTCCAATCCCAGACCCACAGGTATGGAGGTGGATGCAGTCAGCATCCCTTGAGAAGGACTAAGAGCGTATACGTTTTGGCCACCAGTACTTCTTGACAATCAGGGCAACCATCAGCCTGCTCTGACTTTGATCGTACCTTGGTAGCCAGCCAGGGTTTGGGTCGTAGATTTCAAATACATGTCCACAGATGATCCCCTCAAACTACCAGCTTGGCCAAACAGACAGGTTTTCATCTGCAAAGGGCCTTAGGCGCCAAACGGTTATCGGGCCAGAACAGCGACAGCTATAAATTTGGCTCCCAGACCTTCTACAAGGAAAAACATCAGGATCCCACTACTGCATCTCCCTCATTATTGGCAGAATTTCTTCTGTTCCTGCACAACAAAAGACACTGCAAGGTCAGTACCATTACTACTTACCTGGGGGCCCTTAACTCGGTATTGGCAGTTCCGGAAGTTTACATAATGACAAATATTCTGGAACTTGAAGCTTTTCTGCGCTCTTTAACGTTAGAGGATCAGAAGGCTAAGTTCAGACCCCCAGCTTGGGATTTGAAGATGGATCTCAAGTTGATGCGTGATGCCCCATTTGAGCCACTTCACTCAGCTTCATTTTACAACCTCACCAAGAAGTTGGCTCTGGCTACTACGGCAAGGGTGAACGAGCTACATGCATCGGACATCACCCTTGTCCGATTTGAGTGCAGGGCTCACAGTGCCGTTCATCTTAGGGCGTGATGGGATTTCATACCCAAGAATCAACTCCCAGGGCAGCCAGACCGAACCTTCACCATCCCACCTCCCACTTCAATAGTGGGGGCTGCAGATGAGCAGGAACTACTATGCCCAGTTTGTGCACTGAGGTGTTTTCGCCGCTGCTCCAAGGTTCCACGTAGTGCCAGGAGACAACTATTCATCATGGTTTTCCACATCCTTAGACATTAGCCGTTAACACGAGATCTCTTCGTGGTTACAAGCTCGCTTTCTACAGGCTTGCGAGACCGCTGGTTTGTATCCCCCCCAGGGCCAATAACCCTCACAAGATCAGAGGGTTTGCCTCCACCATGGCTCTCCCAGCAACTGCTCCGTCCGATCCATCATGTAAGCTTTCTTCTGGCATTCTCTAGCCTTAGAGGACTTGGAGGCTTTGGACAGCTTTGGCCCCTTTGTCGTTGCCCAACAAGTCTCCAACCCCAAGCGACATTGACTCTTACCATTCCTCAGAGCTGACCTTTTGACCTCTCTGGTTCTTGTAACCCCAGACTAGAGGGTTTATACGCTACTGGTATTAGCTCAGCACATCAGTTCTAGACCTTCGCTCACACTTTTTCTACTACTGTACTGTCACATCGACATCCTGCAGACTTCACACTCTTGTGTGGCGCTCATGCCAGTGTCATATCACCAATATGAGCGCCTCCAAATCAAGGTTGTTGATGTGCCAAGTGAACAGTGCGCCGGACCACAGCCCTGAGGTCAGCTCTGGGTCATGAGGTCATCTGGTCACAACCCTGTAGAGAAGCTTCTACAAACAGGAGGGATGTTGGGGATAACTCTGTTAAGAAAACACCTCCTAAGATGTTCGACTCTTCCGTCTACCAGCTGAGATGAGGAGGTAGTGCACGGATAGGCAAGGGCCCCAACGTCTTATGTAAGGCGCCAGGAACTGTTGGATCACACCCAGCTGTAGGCGACCCCTGAATGTCAAATCCTGGGCTGACGTGAGCAGTCACATAAGCACTTGTCACTGATCATTGTCAAAGTGTAAGTGGCTGTTGAAGAGCGTGTGGCTGACTTAGATTAGGCTGTCAACAAGACTGTAAAGTTGAAAAGTCAACTTCAGGAGGGTTTCTGATTGTGTTGGGCTTTGACGATACGTGGAAAGTTGAGTTCGTCTGCAAACCAATGTCACATCACATAAAGACTAAATAAATGAGCTCTCCTACTGAGGCATTGACGTAATGGTCAAAGCTGTATCGAGTAGACAAATCTAGATATAAACATAACTATTTGTTCTGGAAGATCATAATGTTCAAAGTTAGGTGATCATTTCCATCCCTTGGGCATCGTATAAGCGCTCCCATTCATATATCAAGGTGATGATGAAGGGAGTTGCCTCGTTACTCCAGGTGTTTTCATCGGAGTAATAAAATTGACGCTGTTTCTATTAGAGAAGGCTGAATATATAAATCTTTGCTCTGAAAGATTGTACTGTACAAATTAGGTGATCGTTTCAATGCCCTTGGCACCATAAGTAAAATTATAATGATAGGTAATTATTACTTCAAAATTCAATAGTAAGAAGAACCACTTCCAACTTGGTCAGTCATTGGACTGTAAGACAAGTAAGAGAACTTTTTCCACAAAAGCCATCCTCACTTTATATACACTGTTGTTTGTTTGCAGTTGAGTAACAGGCTGAGGACAAAAGGTACATGTTCAATATGATTGCCATGACAGACATATATGTACATAGTGTATAATAACATGTTTTTAAATATGATATTCCACATACCACATATACGTGGAAAGCCAATGTCAGAATGAAGTGAGTGAAGTGCTTGGTTCAGTGCTACGTTCAGGTCAGCTAACATTGCAAACCTTCTTTTCAGCAACTGTTGATGTGTACTGTTCTATCTTTTATGCAGCTTAATGCAATCTAACACTTGAACTTCATACCAGAAATTGTGTGCCAATGTTTGTCAGATGATGCTTAGCAAGAAGTGTTCTTAATTCATCAACTTAATGATCCTATAACCAGCAACAAAAACTTGTTGGTTTTCCTGACAATCATAAGCTGGCAAAAATCAAACAAGAGTTATCATTGTTAATAATTCTAAGAAAACTACCTCTATTACATCTTTGCCATAAATCCTGTATTTTGGCTTCAGTCACACTAACTAAATTTTTTTCGTTCCCAATATAGCACTATAGCAACCCCAGCTATGACATGCGTAATGGTGGGAACCTCGCTTCTTTCCCACATCTAACCACTAGAGGTAGATGAATTGGGGAGGTGGATGGGAGTACTTCTGATGTAGAGGTAGTATTCTTAGAATTATTAACCATGATAACTATTGTTAGATAATTCTTGCAAATGCTCTACCTCTATTACATCTTTGCAAGAATATACCAGAGGGACCCGAAGGGATCCAGAGGGATCTGCCTCTAAGTAACTCCCTGTGTAATTGACAGAAATCTTCTTCTGGAAACCATTATTCACTGATTCTAATCCTGACTCCTGAGGACAGGAAAATCAGAATCCATCAGGAATCAGTCAAATATGCGATACCTTCACTAGAATTATCATTATATTTGCTGATCTTGATAGTAATAATGATGTCATTTCTGGTCTATTTCTTCCCTATGACGTCATTTCTTGTTAAATTTGGATCTGTGACACTATTACCGGTGCTGATGTCACTTCTGGTTCTGACGTCACTTCCAGTTTGTCACTTCCCTTTTATTGGATAATGACGTCTCTTATGGTCTATTTCTACCAAAAGACGTCATTTTCTGATTAGATGGACCTTGTACTGCTGTTTCCGACGCTGACGTCACTTCAGGTTATGATCTCAATTCCGGTGATGACGTCACTTGCTGTTCTATCTCTTCTGGTTCTGTCGTCACTTCCGGTCACTGGATGCAGTTGATACTCAAGGTGATCCTAATCCATCCTACACCTTATAGACAGGATAATCAAGGGTGTACTCGCCCTCTGATGCTGTTGGTGTCGGATCCTCGCTCCCCACCCTTTTTCGATAGATAGGGGAAACTATTGTTGGATGATAGTTTGCACCGCAACAATGGCTCCAAGGGAATATGCCCTCTAGGTCCGGTTGCATGCCATGCAAGTAAACACTAGTGAAGTGTTTTTTGAGGCCTATTGACAGCTAGACACAAATTGTTTTACTGAGACTGATGTCCACGAAGCGAGACTCATGGCTAGGTCTCAAATTTCATGAGCCGAGCAGGATCCAAAGACGTGGGGTGGAATTCTATGCCTGCGTATAATTTGCTGCAACGGTAGCCTTAAGCCAGCACGCTATTGTAGCCTTGGTGATGTCCCTGTTGGAATTAGACTTCCAGGATATAAAGAGTCTCCTTCAATGGCATCTATGAGGGTCTGTAGCCGAGAGATAGAACTTGAGAGTTCTGATGGGACATAAAAGTCTATCTGGGTGATCCAGTGTCGGTCCCAATGCAGAAATTGTATAGTGTCTATGGCCCAACAGCCCCATGGTGGTAGATTGATTTTTGGCTACAAAATCTGGGAGAGATCTTAGAGTGATTGAGGTCCAATGTTGATCATAGGTGGGACTAGAATAGTCCAAGGCATGGAGTTCTGAAATTCAAGTTGCTGTCGCCATGGCTAGGTGGAAGGATGCTTTCCTGGATTTTTGGAGTAAGGTGGCCTTAGTAAGGTTCTGTTAAAAGTGCTGACAACACAACTGATCGATTCCACTTGGGGAAGATACTAGGTGTGGAAACATCTTCTAGTAGAAAGGATCTCATTAGTCTAGAATGGGATGGATTCCAATTGAGAGTTTGTCGTGTTAAAGTACAGAGTGAAGAGCAGATCTGTAACCTTCTATCATCTGGTGTCGGAACCCATTGTCCTGACGTAGATGTAGTTGAAAGTCCATTACCAGGGATGGATATAGTATTAATTATAATCCCTTGTCGTCTTCTCCACTGGACAAACTTATCCCATCTGTTGTCATATATAAGGGAGAATGAAGGTCTCCATGATCTTGCCACATCTTCAGAGGCAAGGTCTGAGTACCCGAATGTCTGCATCATTTGCGTGATAACTTCCAGGCAGTTAGATGTAGGCTGGGCAGATTGTCGTGGAAAAATTGTTGTGGAAAATGTTGAACTTGAGTTGTCATAACAGATCCCGATGGAGAGGTAACTGTAGAGGTACTTCCATTAGTAGAGTTAATAATCTGGGGAACCACGCTCTGCTGGACAAGATTGGTGCTATCAGGATTATTATGCAATCCGTTTCTTCCAACTTGTGGATGACCTTGTCTAGGTGTGACCATAGTGGGAATGCATATGCAAATAGACCCGTCCAATCCATCGATAGCGCATCGATCTGGTGATCCCTTGGGTCGGAAACTGGACTGACATAAACCGGAAGTTGATGGTTCTGGCAAGTGGCAAAAAGATCTAGATGTGGTGTGTCCCATAACGTGGTTATCCAAGCAAAGATGTGGGGATGTAGGGTCCCTTCTGTTGCCACTATTCTCCCCTGGTGGGAAAGGCTGTGAGCAAGGATGTTCAGTTTCCCAGGAATATTTCTCGCTTTCATATGGCAACTGATGGAGTCCTCCAAGGAAAACAATCGTGTAGTCTCCATCATCAAAAGAACTGCATCCCCCTTGTTTCTGGATGTAAACCACTACTGTGGTGTTGTTCGTGCCTATGAGGATGGATGATTTGGAGAGACGTTTCTTCCATGCCAGGATGGCGTAATAGATGGCCTTCATTTCCTTGCTAGTTGATATGATGGATCCTCTCTCCAGTGCAACTGATGGAGTCAGCTTGTCCACTTCAGTCGAGTCTCCGCTTGTGTTGGGACATGACGAAACATGGGAAAACTGTGTTGTCAGCGAACCAATGCCAAATCCCTGGTAGACTTATAGGCGCACCTGTTCTTTATCGAGGAGCGGTCGTGGGAAGAGTTCAACAATGAATCACGTAGGACAGGCTGAATATATAAAAGGTTCCTTGGTCTGAAAGTTCCTACTGTACGAATCCCTTGGGCGTTGCATAAGCATTCCAGTTGTTATACCTGGGGACGATGGGGCGTGGATTCTCGTTCACTGCGCGTTCAGGCATCGTATGTCCACTGTAGTTTGTGAATAGGCCACATTGATGTACAGCGACAGGCGTCTGGTCGAGTTGTTGCAGTGTTACGCATAAGCAATCATGCAAGCCAGTTTGTACAAATACACTGCACGGATCCCATTAGGTCAGTTGAAATGATTACTGTCGAAGATGTTTACAGTCAGAGTTCTTGACATGTGACATTTAATTCATCCTGCGCAGTAAACTGTAACCCTGTATGCTGAGTCGACTATGTTCAAGCTCAAAACATGGCCAATCCCCTGTGAACCCTGTGGTTGATAGACAAGTGGTGTAGGAAGTAGGAGTAGGAACTGCGACGTGGCCGGTGTAGGTGCAAGTTGATACATGAAAAGAGTGACGACTGGTCCGGTGTTGTGAAAGATGACCCAGTTGAGGGTCTCTAGGTCAATTATCATCCTCATGTCGGTCGTATTCTTTTTCAGAACTAGCAATACTGGAGAATAAAAACCTTTGGTCTTGTTGGTCTCCGCTAGTCTCCGAATGGCTCGCTTCTTTAGTAGCTTCCTGATGGCCAGATATGCTGCCCCTACCTTGGCTCCAACTAGATGAAATCTGCATCCGACTTCTTGAGATTTCAATATAGGATGTATTTTTAGATACAGTTTGTATCTGTGAGCCACGGCGTCTAGAATCCAGCGGTTAGGTGTAATCTATTTTCAATTTTCAGCGTATGACAGAAGATGCCCTCCCACTGGTCCCGGAATCAGTATTATGTTGAAAGATGGAAGGTGTAAATCACAGTCCATAGGCATAACCAGGTGAAAGGGTCTATAACGTCGGAGTGGGTGGCAAGTAAGTCAGAATCAGCATTCACCTCTGCCACCTGATTTGCCCTGCCGAAAGGATCCTGGTTTCTTGTAGTCGGACTGACGAAAAGATTCCTGAGAAGACTGATGCCTGTCGTACCCCGACTCAGTTTGAAGAAATCCTTCCTGGAGGGGATGAACTTCTTCTTAGGAGGCTGTTCATATAACGAGTCCTTCTGATCCCAGGAACGCCTCTGGGGATGGGAAGATCCAAATAGGTTGATAGTTGATACTTGAAAACGTTCCATTGTATCCTGTCTGACCTCATCTATGATATGTCCCAATTTGCCGTTGAATGTCTTGGAAGCAGATATTGGTTGTGACATTATCAACCGCTTGGTATGGCTGGAAACAGCTCTTGAACGAATCTGTGCTAGTAGTTGTTGACACTGAACCCATAGTAACTGTGAAGACATCCAGACTTGGGTGGAGAGTAAGTCTTCCTGCATTCTGACTATGGTGTCTAGCTTTGGATGAGACCGACTTGATCTGTCCTAATAGTCAAAGGAGTCTCTCCGGGTATGCCTTCATATGATGTCTGTAATGGCAGAATGATGTGTCTGATTCCGGCGACAAACCAGTTGATATAAGTGCCAATGTTCATTGAATTTCTGGATGCCATGGACAGGTCCTTAATCCGTGAAGCAGGTAGCATGACATTAGTATTAGGGTTGCGTACTAGCTTCGTAAAGCCTTTGTCCAAAACATGATGATCCGGAAGGGGAGAGTCACAGCTTCAAATGTAGGTAAGGGCAGTCGTTCATCATGTCTGAGCTTGAGTAGATTTTCCGACGCCTGGTCTACCACCTTGCCTGCATAACTCGGCCAAGGCAATGTCTGTTGGATGTGTTGAGATGATGTAGGGGCATGACATCCCCTGTATTCTTAGGTGGCAAATTTTCTTACATAGGAGGTTGGAGTACAGGCATAAGGTGATATAACTCCTCAATGAGTTCCACAAAGGTACATCCCTCTGTATAATCCAGCTGGTGTGAAACGTCTTTCTGAGTCTTTCCCTCATATAACTCTGATTCTGCCTCAGAATGACCGTGGGTAGCTCTCGTTGGTGGGGGATGATCATAATAGTCCATACACTCCATGTGTTCCTCGTGCAGTTCATCAGCTGCTGGTGTCCAGGATTCCGGTATGATTAAGGCCCGTGTGGCTTGTGATGGCTGCCTGTGTGTAATGGAGCCTGTACAGTAATCTTTGTCTCGGTCGGCTGGCCAGTCGTCAAGATGTGGTCCGTGTGGATGGCTTGGGTACCGTCGGTTGATGGCGACCATACGTTAAGCCGGTCGGTCGGCACGGTCGGCTGGGGTAGGCTGAACAGGCGTGGCTGTGGCATAGACAGATGGCTGTCCTCCATGCCGCCACTTGGCCAGAGTACTCTTCTTAGCCAATACTGTCTGCCTTTTCTTCATAATCTCCATATCTTGGTTTAAGGCTGAGAACCGTGTCTCAAACATTGCCTTCATCATCTCCTGCTTTTGCTTCAATAGTTGTTGTATCAGACTCATGGAGAGAGCAGGAGATGATACTTCTGCTGGAGTAGGTGTAGGAAGCTCTTGGGTAGAGTCAGAGGCCTGATCAGTGTCGACGGCCATAATGACTTCAACTTTCTTCTTGGCCGCTTCACGCCTTTGAGCCTTAGTTACAGCCTCAGCTAACTTTAAGAAGGCTTTCTTAGATGTTTTGGTGCACTGCTTGCATCTTGCCTCCTCTTTACATACCACCTCTTTGCACTTCCAGCAGCTACTATGAGGATCTCCCGTGATCATGACACGACCATACTTCTTGCAACCAGGAGTAGAGGGGGACTCCATTACAACCTCACAAACACACATCATACCAACATATACTTACGTGAATACGATTGTCACTACAGTTAGCAGCTCTTAATATAACTTTATATATCTATTTTATAAAACCATAGATTAGATGTGACTAAACCAAATGCAAGTCTTGACTCTAGCACTCACAGGAAAGAAGTTAGATTCCCGTCATTACACATGTCACACCTTCGGCTGCTATCGTGATATATTGGGAACAACTAATTGTGTATGATTGACAATGAAGAGGACGTCTGTTGAAAATCTGAAAATTTTAGTTAGTTTGACTGAAGCCAAAATACAGGATGTATGGCAAAGGTAATGTAATAGAGGTACAGGATTCGCAAAAATTATGTAAGTTGTAGCAGTATCACGAGGGTACATGTGGTTTTATGCATCCTGTGCTAGGAGGCGAGTGGTATAAAACGTAACCAGGGACACATAAACCCACATATACCCCGAGTGATACTGCTACAACGAATTAATATCTGTTGAGCTGAGGTTGAGTCATGTGACTTTCATTGACTCGTAAAGCAACATGCAGCGTTTTGCTTCAAAGCAGGGTATAAGGGATTTTGTTCTCAGATATATATTTCCCTCAAATGCGGGACCCATAGCATTTTATCCAGTCTGAACCTTGTGACATGGAGGTGTAGACTGTTATAACTACCTTGGTCCAGGCTTAGGCCCTTGGTTTGGATACAGGCTGTGACTGTACTGGTGAACACCCAGTTCATATAATGAAGAAAAGTATTTGTTGCACATATGACATCGATATGACATTTCATCTTCATGGGTCTTTGTATGCTCCAAAAATGAATCCAAATCCAGAAATGTACATCCACAGTTTTTCATCACACACTTGTAAACCTGCAAACAGAATTCAGTAGGTCACTAATCTTGTCAATACTGTAAAAATAGTGAAACTGGTCTGACGCTGAAGATGTGTAAACGACGACTTAAAATGTCAACATCGACAGCCACTCGATAAAATTTGGTTCAAGCTCATTTTATCTGCTTATTTTGACCAGCACCATGCCCTTGCGGGTTCAGCAATCTCTCAGCAATGATCAACAGCATTGACAAGCTTTGCTTCAGCAGAGTACCTGTTGTTGTTTGTGCTGCACCATGTGTGTCTTGAGCTGGAAGTATGTTTTGAACTTGGAGGGACAGTACTGACACAGGTAAGAGCTGTCCACAACGACCTTCACCTTCCCTTCAGTGTCTGCACCTGATCCTACTGCATCTTCATCACCACTCACACCTCCACCCTGCAACATCGTGGGAACATATACATCATCATATTGTGAGTCAAAATGTGGAAATGAGCAAATGTTTTATTCACTGTCCTTAATAAACAGAGTGCTCTTTAGCTCCTCTTGACATGTAGACAGGTCAAAATGTCATCAAAACAGCCATTTTATATGCGTTACTGCCTGCAGTGATAATAAAATGTTCACAACCAATAAATAACGTTTCAACAATAATTCTAAATCTGCTACAATAAATTCAAGGTGTAAACTAACATCACAGCAATACACAATGGGTGGACTGCCTTGACGCCAAGTTTAAACTCTCAGACTTATGTGTCATCTCAGGAGAGGAACATCTTTTTCGCTGATGTAGTTTTGACACAAGCTATAATTTCAGTCTTAATTTTTAATCTGTCAGTCACCTGAAGCATGAAGAAATAATCTTATGACACTTCAGCCTGAGTATGGTGACAGGTCCACAGTGAGTTAAATCAAACTTGGTGCAATAGAATCATGAAACCTGATTGCCAAGGAATTGTATGTCACATGGATATGTAGTTGACAGCTTAAACTATCAACAAAGACAAACATTTAACAAAAGTTGCTGTCGGCATTTATATTCAATATTTTCTTCATAATTATTGATGATTAAATACTAACACAATCATCAAATACAAACTATGATGTAATCATAAGGAGAAACATACATGCCAAAGTTCATCTCAGGTCACAACCTCAGAACAAGTGTGTAACGGTAGTCCCTGGTTGATTTTTTTTAGCCTCAGCTGCACATGTCTTTGCAGCATAAAGCAAATCATTTTGCAGATAGCAAAGTGCTACTCAATGTTATGACATGGGCCAGGGGCACCATTGTGTGAAGAAAAGGTGTGGCTCATAATGTGACTCTTACTACAACGATCTGTGCTTGGGGAAGAGAATGTGGTCTGATGGATCGGCAAGTCACGTGTCAGGCGACAAAGCCTGTTGTCACAAATAGGAGATAGACAACAATCCATGAAAGTAGTGAAGAAATTGGTCACCGACGACGTTATGGGGGCATGCATGAAGTCAACCATGGACGACCTGAGAGTCTTAATCATGTGGATAGGGATGGGAGGGTCTGAATGGGAACTGTTCCGGGCATGCTCGACAACCCTGTCACCGTGTCACCAAGTGCTTCTGCAATGAATGCTTCTTGGAGGAGGTCTCTGTAGATGCCTATCCCAAAGATCTCGCCTTTCTTGGCTTCTTTGAAGATGCCGACGATATAGTTGCAATGCTTTCCAATGCAGTACACAGAATGATGATGCAGCATCAGAGACATAAGTGCATTCTGTACATCAAGTGCAGAGCTCTGTTCAACAGAGGTTCCTGACTGTCAGGGCATTGCCGTACCCCAGGCAGGGTGGCAGTACGGTTGAGTCCATGTTTTAAAATATGTTTACAAAAATCTACCTGTGTGTAATAACACAGATTAGAAACATGTGGATGGATGTCAAATTGAAACCCTTCAGAATGAACTTAGTACTGATGTCAACACAAGAAATGTGTGAAAATATAAACTATAAAAATGTCTAAGGTGTTGTAGCTTACACACACAGGAAGTGGCAAGTTTTTGCTTCATCAGTGCAGTGGTTTCAGAGAAGAGGACAGTTTTATGCACTACAGACCACATGATTGACGACAAACAGGCCACAAAATAAGCTGACTTGACTTTCAGCCAGTTGAGCTAAAAAGTGACAGTGTAATGGCCATAATTGGTTCATAAATATGGCTGCCATGTTGGCAATTTGGAAAATCGGATTACAAACGGGAACAAATTTAGGTGTCATCAATGGAGGGAACGAGCATGCTAAGCTTCAGCATCATTGGACGAAACAGAAAACATACCTTATAGTGAAGTTGTTGACTTGTGTCCACTGGCGTTGGATCTGGCGTGTTATCACTATCCACAACAGCAGCAGGAGGAGGTTGCTTAGGCAGGGTTGCAACTGTCCCAGAAGGCCACACCTAGACAGGGAAAATCACACACTAATGAGGTTCTATCACCTTGCAGATTTTATTTGGGCAGAGTCCTAGTGTAATCTTCGAATTTGTTATTATTACTAATATTAGGGTTCCAAGTCTAAAAACACACAAGCCCTATTTTTATTGTTCTGTTTATTATTATTATTTTTATGTACCAGAAATAACTCAACAATCAGTTGCGAGAATCTTTCCAAATATTTCAGCAGGATCAGCACCAATGTGTAGGTAGATACCACAAAAATCCCAAGGCCTTAGGCTCAATGACTTATGACAGGTAATAAAAATCATTTAAAGATTTAAATTTTAGCAGCAATTATCTCAGAACTTATCGTCCAATGACTTCCAAATTTGGCATGCAGAATCAGATGAACATCAGTTTCAATATCAATGATTTCCAATATCATTAAATGGTAGGGTTTAGCAGCCATATTGGATTGATGGTTTTGGCCTTGCATTTTAGCACTTTTCTCAGTACTTGTCTGCTAAAATCTTCTCCTCTGAAACTATCAGAGCAAAAGCCTTGAGGCGAAATACTAACCCTTACGGTAAGTCCAGCATTTCAGTCGGGGGAATGTAACTCTTCGTCAATCCTAAATTTCTTGACGCTGTTAGCCTAGTTAATGATGTGTTATCGGTAACTGGGCAATGATAGAGTACAGGGCTTATCAGTTACCGCTGTATTCCATGGCAAAAACAAAATAAAAATTCTGCAATCAATTTTCGTGATAACTGCAACCAACTTTTGTTAAGTCAATTCTGCACACAATTCTACAACCGTTTGAGCTAAGTTTTCATGAATTTCCCAGTTCTGCACCTGTTTGTCTTGTTGGCATATTTCCATATGAACTTATCCACAGCCAAATAGATTATGAAATGAATCTGGCGATCACTAGTATAAACTTACAAACATACACTTTAGTAAGTAATAATGAAAAAGTCAACTTCAATTCAAACGAAATCAGGATATTGAGTTCATCTAACCCTTACTCAAAATGTAAAATGTTTAAAAGATTGTTAGAATCAAACACCTATAATAATCATTTGGAACGATTTAATTAATACAATGCGCAATTCAAATAATCCAAATATCTTAGAACAAAACTCAGTAAAATCTAAATATTTTTTACATTTGTATACTAATCCTGAATTACTCCTTAATGCATTTATTGCTTTGTATTGACAGAAAACAAGCTGTGTGAGGTCCAGCTGAAGAAGAGGTAGTTCCAAGGCAGACCTCATCACACAGAGCCCACAGAAGTGTTGACGTCATGTATCTTCACATTACTGCTAAAATAGTAACATCTGAAGACATCGTTGGGAGGCAACTCTGCGATGGGTTAGCCCTTTAGACTTAGTAATGCAGGATAAGTATATAAACATATTTAGATTTTACTAATTATTTTCAACTTATCCTGCATTACTCTTTAATGCAACTGAATCGGACGGTACGGTGGTGGGCATACCTTCAGATATGGTTCTCAGAAATACCCTTGAGAATGTCTAGGCAGCTGTCCAGTGCATCACTTGCGAAGATCGGCAACCAGTCGACCAATCCTGTCCGCGGAAAGAATGAGAGTATGAGGCTGTCCAGGTAAAATGTAGCAATAGAAAATAGTGTGCGCTAGAGTTTCAAAACTGACTTACGAGCCAATGCTGGCAGCATAGAGATCCCCCCTATCCTGTGTGCGAACACTGAGCGAGTTGGATAAGTTCAGCTCCGGACAGCTGGAGATGTTATTGGCATCTGGGACTAGTGACCTGCTGGGTAACGATCAGAGGGCCAAAACTGTGTACACCTGCGACGTCCTCCAAGGCCACTACCCACAGGTAGTGGCTTGCAAAGACCATGTTAGATCTCCAAAAGCATCCTTCCATGATGGCTCTGATGGAGCAATTACTGTGGAGAGCCATTGTAGAGGCAACTGTCTCATGCGGATTGTTGGCTCCAGGAGGATCAAGGTCAGAGGCCTCATACGCCTGAAAAAAAGGGGGCGCGTAATTACAGAGATATGGTATTGTCTTGGAGAGTGGAATGAAAAGTCGTATCCAAGCACCATTTGTAGCGGCGGATGAAAACTCCTAGTGCCTGCACCGGGCACAGAAGGAGTTCCTCATCATGTTCAACGCTCACAATTGAGGAGAGAGGTGGGATGGCTATGAAGTGTGAACAGCTCTGCACACAGGTAATCCTCAAGGCGGAAGCACAGGAGGGCTTGCAGTTCCGGAACTTTGGTCATTTTTCGATCCTCTGGAACTGCCAACACCATGTAGGTTGTGATGGCGTGCAGATGGATTAGAAGGTTCAGCCACCCTGGTAGTTCTAGTGGATCATTTTCCTCAAGATTTTGAAGTTCCACGACCCACGCTCTCGCCAGCCATTAAGGCACAATCAAAATCAGAACAAGGCTCTTGGTTGCCCTGATCTTCTGCATCCCCTTTGGAAGAAGTACAGCTGGCGAAAAAGCTTACGCTCTTAGTCCTTCCTAAGGCTTGCTGAGAGCGTCGAACACCCATGCCTGTGGATCCAGAACCAGAGAGACATATGTCCAGATCTGAAAGTTCTGGTTGGTGGCAAAGAGGTAGATGTTTGGATGACTGAGACGCTGACTTATGAGACTGAAGGCCTGGGGATGAAGCTGCCGCTCTGTGTGAGCCAGCTTGTCTGGCCTGGACAGAGTGTTATGTTCTGACATCATAGGAACTGTTGGACGTGAGACAGGAGTAGGTGTTCTCTGATTGTCGACATAAGCAGCCCCAAAAGCACTAGCCACTGGCAAAGTGTGAGGGGTTGCTGAATGGCAGGTATCAGATGGCGCAGTATCTTGAGCCACCTGTTCTGTGTAACTGTTAAGAGGTCTAGGTCTATCTGAAACAGGCCTCCTATGAATTGAAGCCAGTATGATGGGATGAGTTCCGACTTCCCCTCATTGACCATCAATCCCAGTTGATGGTAAAGTCCCAGTGAAGGAGCAGGGTTGCTGTGTCCAGATGGTTCAGAGGATAATCATCTATGTAGTATTCGAACGTGAGGATTCGGCGGTCGCTGGGATGGATGGGCACAGACAGCTTGGACAACTGGGGTTATTTCCCCTTCATGTCTCCACCCCTGCCGGATTGATAAGAGCCTTGGGACTTCCCTTTTCCCATGTCCCTTCCCTCAACAAGGAGACCGGTCTGGAGCCTGGTCTTTCATGGAGAAACCCCAAGCACGGTAGTTGCCAGTCCTAAAACAGTGTTGAGCTAAGTTCCGGGAGAAATGTTCTTGTGCCTTAAGGGTTGTCTCATCTCACATTACTGGAGACTCAGAAAGGTGTGTCCGATATCTGGCCAATAAAGTCGCAGACCAGGGATGACGAAGGAGTCTGCGCTTGAATTCAGAATCATGTCGGTAAGGGCCAGGTATCCCAGACGGCGAGTGGTGGTAATCTAGGCCAATGCAGCCTTAAGAGGATTCTGCATGGAGTCGATCAGCCTCTGTTGATAATAGAAAACCATCTGGAGATGAACCTCTCAGTTGATGTTAGTCTCAGTCAGATCCTGGCCTTTGGACCAAGATGAGGAAGCCAGATCAGACAATGGTTTCAATGAGCGTCTATTCTGTCTCAGTGGAAGCCATGTAGGTATCAGGGATCTTGAGAATGGTAGGTTACAAAGACCCCGTCATCTGATGAAGATCCTCGTCCAAGACTAAAGCACTGTCAGCCACCTCAAAGGCATGGATGGGGAAGTCCTTCCTCTTGAACCTGGGCACCTTAAAGGCTGGAGAGAGTGAGAGCCAAGCAAAGTCTTCATCCAGTGGTTTGCCTCGCAACTGGTTGGAACAATATCTTCAACTGGACCTCAGACAGCTTCATTTTTCTGTTGAAAGAAAGCAGTAAATGCTAAAAAATTTAAAATAATCATTTTAGTAAACCTACGCAACTTTTACATGTTTAAGACTGTTTTCCACTAGCAAGTAAAATTATGCAGTGTATTTGATGAATTCTGCGGCAAAAATATTTCCAGCAAAATATTCCCCAACTGTAGAATTTCGAAATACAGCGGGACTGGCTTATGTGGTCAGATGGAGGGCCATGACAACCTGTGTATTACAGCATCTATGACAATACTTCTTCCTCCATATTTGGCTTGAGACCCAGCATAAGATGGTAGATTTCTTCATCCCTATGGTCTGCGTCCAAGTCTAGGTTAGTATGTCTGCTACACAAGCCATGCCTGGGTGTGAGTGATGATCTGGGTCCCATTGGAGACCAGTTCTGGACCAAGACCTTAAATGACCATGGTGTCCATGAAGAACAACTCCATTTCCTGTTCCATAGCTCTAGCAACCCCACACAAGCTACCTTTCAGTGCCCATGATCATCATGTGGCTGCCGTGACTGTGGAGTTAGTGGTGTTCATGGTTCTAAATCCTGGTTCCAAAGATCAAGGGTTATCGGGCTGTGCCCATGATAGGCATGTAGCAGCCTCTATGTTGTTAGCATGAAGGCTTTCTTCAACTATTTTCCATTGTCACATGGCCACAGTTTATGCTCTCCCCTGGTGACCTCTTGTACAGGGTAGCTTTCTCAGCCTGTTGGGATACTACTTGCTCTTTCTTGAAGGTATCCATCTCTGCAGAAAACGCCATCAGCCACTGATTCATCATAGCCTGCATGGCCTCTTGCTGTCTCTTCATGAAGTCATCAAATAAACTCATGGACAGCGTAAATGTAGCATCTGTCTGGGCTGGACTCTGGTGCTGGGGAAGGTCTAGGGTTGTCTATCTGTGGCATGGGATGACGCTCTTCACCAACTACTGTGAGCATGTTCAGTGCCTCTGTTTTCTTCTTAGCCACTTCCTTCCTTTTCGCCTTTTGCCATGAATCCGCCACCTTGGCATTACCACCTAGCAACTTCATGTTTCAGGTAAACAAATAATTTTCCTTTTCAGCTGTATTGCAAGATATTAAACATTTACTAGGATATGTTAAACTGAAGACACAATTAAATACAGTGAGACAACTATGAATAACTGTTGACAGTGAAGAGGACTTCTGTTGAAAATCTCAAGATGGTTTCATTGTGATGACAGCCCAAATAGAGGATTTCCAGCAAGGATGTAATAGAAGTGTAAAATCAGATGATATGATTACAGATGAACTGACAACCAGAAGGACAACATGTTGCAAGTGTAGCCATACAATCAAACAGTTCCTGAAAAAAAAACTATTTTCAGATATATCCACAATGCTCAGATTACCTGTTGTCTCTACAGTCAGCGTGACTTTGCTTCAGGCTAATAACAATTTTCACTTTTTTACTTTATTATATATTTTGAAACAAAATCTTTCTAAAACCTGCTAATTGACTACCAGAACTGAGTACTTGCAATGCCTGTCCTTGATAGCAGCCTCACCTGTGACCTGACATATGACATATTACCTTGTGAGTTGCCATGTGTTTCTTGACGTTAGACTTCTGAGCAAATGCCCTCCCACAGACAATACATTGGAAAGGCTTCTCCCCTGTATGGGCCCGCACATGCTGCTGTAGGTCAAAATTCTTAGCAAACATCTTATCACAATACTGGCAGCGGAGTCTCTTCTTAGAGGAGCAGCTGTCCTCGGCTTGTTGAGCTGCAAGTTTTGTTTGTTTCCGTGCCTTATTTACTGCCTGGCCGTCTGTCCCATTCATAACGGTCTGCTGAACACTAGATTGTGCACTTCTTCTACCTGAACAGACCAAAAAGGAGTTTCAAAATAAACACGAAGACATTTCTACCCTTCCTTTTTAAACATGTTTCTAAACTCACAAAATAAAGTAAATATATGTCATGTATCTGATTATAGCACTCAAACCTATGGCTAGTCCTAAAGCTTGTGAGTACAAGTGACTATATGATAGACCCTGGCAGAATCAAATGTTCATGATAACACAACACCAAACGATTCCTTCTATTCTTTAAATACTTTCTGTACCTTCCAGCGATTTGAATTTGTAATGATACTTTTCAGTAGCTTTACCTTTTCATTTAATAGCAATGTTACAAAACTAGTAAAGTCTAGATATTTTTTTTATATTTGTATACTTATCCTGCATTACTCCTTAATACATTTACGGTGTAAGCTTGCTTTTTACAGAAATGAAGCTTTTATTGAAAAGAGAAAAAAAATTGTTCCCTTACATGAGCAGGACCCCATATCACTTGCTGCCACGTCTTCCCGGAAGCGGTGATGTCACAGATATTACCTTTGGTTACAGGTAAATTGTCGTGGGGAGGCAAGTCTGTGATTGGTGGGCCCTTAGACGTAGTAATGCAGGGTAAGTATACAAATATAAAAAAATATCCGGATTTTACCAGATTTTTTAACTTATCCTGCATTACTCCTGAATTCATCTGTATCCGACTGTATAGAGGTGGGGACATCTTCCGATGTGTACTCAATAAACACTCTCACAACTAGCAGTGTGTTAGCCATACAGTGCAATTCTTCTGCGCATATCGGTAACTAATCAACCAATCCTGTCCACGAAAAGGTAACAAGGGTATATCTGGGTGGACAAACAGTAAGAGACGAAAGCATGCGCTAGCCATGAGTGCGTATAAGCAGGGAAGCCCCCCCTTAACAAGCGAGTCATGAAACTACGCGAGTCGTGCAAGGCTGGCCCAGGATATGATTAATTGTTTTTAAAGCATTGCATATTGGTCACCTGCTGGGCTACAACCAGAGGTCCAAAACTGCAAATGCCCTCAACGTCTTCTAAAACAATTTCCCTCAGGTAGTGGCTAGCGAAGACCGAGTCTGATCTCCGAAAACAACCTTGGTCTTCTGATCCTCAAGCCTAAAGGAGCGTAATAGAGCTTGCAGTTCTGGTATCTTGGTAATTTTACAATCTTCCAGAACTGCAAACACTGAATTTAAAGCTACTAAATACTTGGTAATGGTGCTGCCCTTCAAGTGTCGTTTGGAACGCAGGTGTAGAACATTCTTGGCCAAGAACTGAGGCCAGGTCTTGAGCCTTTTCTTTACAATAGGTCTCAAATGATAGGAACTTATCATCATAAAGGTCTTGAGTCAAAGGCTACTTGCCACAGCAATGGCCTTAGCTGCTCATGCCGAATAGCCTTTCTTGTCTAGGGCTCCTTGTAAATGAACCAGCCGTGTAGATTAAACCTGCCTATATAAACCTGTAGAGGTAATGTACCGCTTACTGAAAGGTTTCTCAGGTCCATGAAGCACCCTCTTGCCGGGCCACCAAGATCAAAATCAGAGCGAGGCTTGCACCATCTTGGGAAGAAGTACTGGGGTGGAAAAGCGTATGCTCCCCTCCCAAGGGATGCTTAGCACATCACCCGTTATGTACCTGCAAATCAGTAAAGGAGGGTTTCTGTTCATGTCCTGCCTTGACAATACGTGGAAAATTGTATTCGTCAGCAAAACAATGCCAGATCCCATGTAGACTACATTAATGCACTCCCTAACCGATCCCTGAAGCCCAACGTAATTGACGCTGGAAGAAGAATAAATTTGGAGCTGTATCCAGTAGATAAAGCTGAATATACAAATCTTTGGTCTGAAAGATCATACCATCGAAGTAAGGACTTCATTTCCAACCCCTGGACATCATATAAGCACTCCTGTAATCATATCGAGGTGACAATAAAGGGAAGTGCCTTGTTACTCTGTGTGTTGTCATTGGAAGCCTACAGAAATTAGTGCCTCAAGTCACATTGATGCACAGCGACAAACATCTAATCAGGTGGTTGCAGTATTACACACAAGGAAGCCTGCTGACTAATCTGTGCAAATACACCACACGGCTAAGTCCGGTAAAGTCAGGTATGTTGTCAGTCAGCGAGTCCTTGACACGTGACATTTAAATCACCCTGTGCAGTAACCTCAAACCCTGCCTTCTACCGGAAACGAGGTCCAAGCTCCACACACTGTGAGTTCTGTGTAGAAAGTGTGACGTGGCCGGTGTATGATGCCTGGTCATGTCCTGTAAACTATTATCCTGAGAGATCATATGACGATTACGTTGATCATGAATTTGTGATGATTCTCACATTTTGGTCATGTCAACAGATCATGTCAACCAGCAGGCACGTGAAACAATTCTTGAGAGTACTCTCGCCTTCTTCGTAAAATAATTTAGCCAAAATTGAATGTTCCTGGATTAGATAGGGAGAATTGACGGGACATTTCACAGAATCCTCACCAGGCCAGGAGCTGCCTTGACATGAGGGAACATTGGAACTCCCTTGTATTAAAGCCAATCGTGTGTCCAGTATCTGGATGGTCCATGGTTTAGACAACCCTGTCATACCATTGAGATCCTCATGCCTCTTAAACTTGGACACCTTGAACATTGAAGTGAGGGTCAAGTGGGAGAAGTCCTCGTCCAGCGCCCTGCCGATGTCATTAAGCATGGTATCTGGTTGGATGGAAGTAGGGTTAGACCATATGGTGTCCCTCTTGGCCAATCTGGCATCTGGGCAAGGATGAGTATCTTACTTCAAGGGGTAGTAAATGGACTCAACTAACGTCCCCTCCAAAGGAGTCTAATAGGTAGTGCTCTGAGCGGCAGCCTGGAGAGCGGCTCCTGGACCATCGCTTGGACCGTGGCACCTTGGAGGAACATGAAAGACTGTGACTGTGTCATCTGTCCCATGACCATGAGTAACATGAAAGTTTTGTGACGTCACCACTTCTGGTATGGCATGTCAGCTGGTGATTTGGGGCCCTGCTCATGGAATGGAACAACCTTTTTTCTCTCTTTAGCAGGACCAATCACAGCTTTATTTCTGTCAAAAGCAAGCAATAAGGATTAATGCAGGATAAGTTAAAAATATATCTTATGGCAGTGCCCAAAATAATTGTAACTCCAAACAAGTCAGGCAGGCAGATGACTCATCAATGTAAGCCCATCTTGAAAGTTGCAGGCCCACAATTGTAACCACATGTTAGTGAAGATAATCAATTTCATGTTTTGCGACTTGCTTTACTGTGTGCCTCTAATATTTTACAGCTCTCTAATCACAGAGGTAGCTCTTGCTCTCAGGTAAGTGAGTAACACATCAATGTCTCATTCAAAAATCGCCAGTGTAGCAAATAAAATTTTCTACTAACCAGTCAGTCCTGCTGTGTTTATAAATTATCATGAAGAAATATTGAACTGTTTAAGAGTAATGCTCCAAAAGCGATCACTACCCTCATCAGAAGCAAAGTCAAGCTTTTTGCATTGAAAATGCAAAAAAACATTGTTGAAAAATATTGAACAGTTCATGAGTTATTGTCCCAGAAATAATGAGTGATATACGAATGACGGACGAATGGTTTCTATAAAGGACTTGTAGAAATTATCAATGGCAGCACATGACTGAACTACTGGTAAAGATACCAAGTGCTGTGTGAGTGCACTGACATTAATTATTATTATCGGTACCTCTTTGACTGTAAACCTAAAACCGTGTGTTTCAGTATCATTTATTGATTATTCATTGACCTGTAATTTACTGATTTCACAATTTAGTTCTGCATGTACAGATTTCTGGGTAACCATTGTGTTTCAATTTGAAAATCACCTTGCAACAACATTAAATAAATTATATCGGGCTCTAGATAATGTTTTGTACCATTGAGTATCCACTCATATGTTATCCACTTTGAGTGCTTGTTGTCTTTGGGTATTCAAAACATATTTATTTTAATAGGTCCAGCCCACTGGGGACTATGAAACCAATGAGTAGGCTATTCTTGAGTTATTATGCTGAACATGCTGTTCCAGGTGACTTCTAGTATGCACCTGTTTATGTGCTGCCCCAAGTGTGTCACATGTCACATGTCACATGAGCTCATATAAGCTCTGATATGCTCATAAGCCAAAAAGCAATATATAGGCAATGTCTTACAAGCATACTCATATCCGCTGCCATGGACAAGTTCTCGTGAGTACAAGACTCAAGCCTCTCACCACAAATGCAGTCTGGGAATTTGCCATCTCAGTAGGTAGTGATCATTGGATAAAATTGGAAATGTTAGTATAAATTGTATATTTATATACTTATCCTATCTCACACTTTGCATTTCTCCCTTCTTCTTCGATCCTATGTGGGAACGTGCTTGAATCATGTTTCCAGCTTCTAAAACTAAAAATAGCCCCCCAAGCCCCCCTGCATCTCTATGGTTATGTCCAAAAGCTAGGTCAATTACGTGCCTCTCGTGCATGCAGTGCCAATTCATTCTCTTTCACAGAGCTTATTAGGCTAGAGTTAATGAGATGCGGGGATGGTCGGGTGGGCTTATCGCGTGTGACAGTGTAATTTTGAATTTGTTCTAGAATTTTGAAAAAACTGTCTAGCGTCTAAAGACATGAACTTGTGAGCGGGAAAAAAATACACACGATCAATCGGTGTTAATGATCCAATACATAACTCAAACGAAACAGCATGAGATCAGGTATACATGCCGAACGTTTTTTCCCGAATGTCATCGTACATATAGAACGACCGCGTAGCTATAAACGCATAAGTGAAAAATAAGAGGTTATGTTCTGCGTGAACTTGGGTGAGACAGTTGTTGTGCCAACAACAACGAACCAAACTTGTTGAGCCCTTGTACCATTGTGACTGAATGCATACGATCGGCTGCACCGATTGGTCACTTCATAAATTAGATGAATAAGTCTCTACAGACGAGCTAATCCACCCTCCGAAAGGGACTCGATCTGG